TGACCATGACTATTCTAAGAGTATTTTAATAGTGTGAAAAGTGAAATATTTGCTAAGGAAACAAACTGGAAATGGAGGTTACCAAAATATCTATATATCTCTATAGATCATTTTTACTGTTAAAGTTGAAACTTAAATATGTTAGCTGAAGAGGTAACTGTTTTTTCATCTGTGACAAATGTTTCAGAATATATATTTTCAGAAAAAACTTTCCATTTAGAATCTTTAATTTGAAATTGAAGGAGCACAAAAGGAAAGGTAATTGCTTATAATTCATGAGCCTTTATCTTGTATGATTGTAAAGGTTTTTGATGGAGGGACAGTCTTATATATGTCTTGCTCATAGAAAGAACTCAAAATAAACATTTGAGAAAATTTGGGCTTAATCTTTAATTATTTTCCTTTGTTGGTTTGAACTCATTTTCATAAAATATAAGAAGATAAAAAGGAATGGGGGTACTTTGTCACTTATCATTTTCCATATCACTATCAATTTTCTAAAACATAAACTACTCATGTTTGTTTCCTATTTAAAAATCTCCTAATTTGTGAGATAAGGAACAGAGAGGAAGAGGAAACTTTTACTTTTATGTTATAAACTTCTGATATATATGAATTTGTCACAATGAGTGTGTATTACTTTATACCAAGAGAGAAAAAGCACACCCAAGTCTAACACAGGAAAAATAGAGATAAACAAGATTCTAGTCCAAATTGTTCACAGAATTAAGTCTGATCACCTTAGCAAGGAAGATAGGGTCTTTAACTTGAGGCTTCCAGATTCCTTATTAAACTGCATTTCCCCACCTACACTCCCTACTACACACACTTGTGCACACATACCCCTCCTCTCCAGTTAAATAAACTATCTTTTTTAAAGACACAGTCATTTTTTCCCTCTGACTTGTTCTTTCTTGTACACTTTACTCAATCTAGAAAGCCCTGTCCTCCCTCTTGTTTCCAATGAGATTACTTCAAGACCCAGCTCAAAACACTTTTTCAGTCCATAGTGAAATGAATGTTCTCTCTTCTCTACACCACAGTGCTGTGTTTTCCTCCATTAAATTGTAGTCAGAAGAACCATGAGTTAAGCATTAGACATCTTTGTATTCCTCTTCCTCTTCCCCCTATACCTGTGCCTGACACGTAGAAGGCATTCAGTAAATGCTTGTTGAATTAATAAATAAATGAATACATTAACAAATCAATCTTTTTCTAAGGTAACAGAACTCATGTCTAGTGAATAAATATTCTTAAAGTGGTTAATAAAGAGGAAAAGTCATTCAGCCTGAGAAGCAGTGTGGTGTGTTGGATAGAATTCCAGCTTTGGAGTCAGACAGATCAGTTTGTTTTTAGCATCCACCAATATCTAGCAGTGAGACCTGTGGCAACTGACCTCACTCACTGAGGTTCACTTCCTTTATTTACATAAGAGTTAATAATATCTGCCTTGCAGGCAGTTGAAAAGACCTGAATCACCTTGCACAATGTTTGGCAAAACCCAGGTGCTCATTATATAGTGGTTATTACTGTTACTTTTATCAGCTCCTACAATGTTTCAGTATGGTGTATTTGTTGCCACCACAAATTTGATTATCTATGCTAGCTGCTTAATGCCTGCTAATATTTTCTCCTTGATCTCATTATAAATCTCTTATGTTATACTTTAGACACTGTCTATAGTACCTAGGTCATTTCTGGCCACATACTCAGTTTTTTAACTTACTGGGTTAGACCTGTGACTTATAGTGAAAAGAGCACTTGATTTGGAGTCAGGAGATCAGGATAATACTGAGCTACATTAAGTAACTTTCCTTTCTCTTGGCTTTCTCAGCTTCTTCATCTGCAAAATTAAAAGAATAGACCTCATGAGTCATTTATAACTCATAAATTCAGCTATGCTATGATTAATTCTTTTTATGAAGTAAAGAATTGCACTATAGTTAAATAAGCCTCTACAGCCAGATAGAAAAATGTAGGGCACAAGTAGTTTGACCAGCCCTCCCAGTTTTCTCAGAACCATCTCAGCTTTAACACAAAAAGTCCTGTGTCCTGTGAATCCTCTCAGTCCTGGGGAAACCAATAAGTTGGTCTTCTCAACTCTAGGTAGTTTGACAAATAAAAGGTTTTTCTTTCTAGTTGCTGAAAGCTTTTTTCTTTTGAATTCCACATTGACAAATAGTGTTTGGTCTTGTGGTAGAGATGAGCAATATTGGAGAAAAATAACAGTACCCATAATATACAAATAAGCACACTTCCTTGGGTACTGGTAATTCAATGTCATTGAATCAGTTGCTGTTGAGAACTTTAACGTACCAGGCATTATATTAGGCTATGCTATCAAGGGTATGGATGTAGAAGACTCTACCTCTACACCAAGGCAAGTATTTGTGTGTGGGCAGGGTAAGGATGTAGGACACATACCTAGGGAAAGGTCCCCACATACCACAAGGTAGTGTATAATGATGAAATATATTAGACTGTTCAGGGAAGGAAAGGGAGGCTGGTGGGAACTAGAAAAGGTAGAAGTAAAGTCTGAACAGAGTTGGTTATGGAAGTGGCTAGGCAGACAATCTAAGGGGTGATACGCACACTGCTAGATAATGTGTAGATCCTACAGGTAAATGACTGTGGACTTACAACTCTCATGATAAAATATCATGGAATCTGAAAGGGGGCTTTGCTGTAGCTAAATTAAAAAGAAAACTCTGCAAGAGATGAAAAGGAAAGCTTGGGGATAAATGAGGTGGTGAGGTGGTAGGGGGAAAGATCAAGGGAACTGGGGTAAAAAAAACTACTACTCAGATGATCCCTGAAATTTTTCTTTTGAGCTTTCCCATCATTTTTACGGTTTTCTCACTTACCTCTCTCCTGCCACAATCTTGTTTTGCCCTTACAACTATGTTAAGAAGAATTGACATACTGTAGGGAAAAGGGCATAGGCTTTTGAGGCCAAAAGGCCTCCATTACTTACTTTCTGACTTTGGGAAGTGAATTAGCCTTGCTGGAATTGTTTCCTCATTAATAAAATAGGAGCAAACATACCTACTTCACTGGATTGCTCGGCGGAATAATGAGATAATTAATGTGTAACATGCCTGATACATGTTGAAACATGTTAAGGACTCAATGAATGGTAAGTTCCTCACCTATCTCCTTCTAGGGTTTTGATGATGTATTTGATTATTTGACTAAGTCAGAGGCAGAATCTCCTTCAAATGGCCTTGGAAAGAGACTCCCAAGGGAGAACTGAAAACACAGAGGAAAGGCTTTAGAGTCTGCTTTGATCACTCCTCATATTTCACTTGAGATCACATCTCCACTTCCCCAACACTTGCTCCTTTAGTTTGAGTGTGTGTGTATGTGTGTAACTTAAGTCAGGATACTAGCCCCTCTCAGGTTCATAAGGACATAAGTTTCTTTCCTTAACGTAGCTCTCTCTGTGTGATATGCAAGTGGCATGGCTAGCAGGCAGGGCAACCTTTATATGTAGGAGAGGTACAGTTGGCTACGAATGATCTGAATGTGTTGAAAGCTAATTCTGTGCACCTGCAGAAACAGATTAATGTCATGAATGCTACACCAAATTTCCCTGGTGCAGAGAATAAGATATTATCAGGAAAGCTGGGTCACTGCAGGTTCTTGTTACCTTCTCCAGTGATTTTCTTTGGTTAATTTATGAAGTCCAAGAAGTTTGCTTTCAAATATGCTCAATGCCTTGTAATGACTCCCTTTATTTTTGAGGGAATTTCCTTCTCCCTTCATCCCTGCCCTCAGCAACCCCTAGCCCTTCCCTGAACCCTTTCCAATCTATCCTCCCAATCTTCTCCCAGATATTCTTCTCACCATTCCTCTACTCTCTCTCTCATCCTCTACACCTCACCTAATCTCCCTCCTGCCCCAAACATTCCCCTGTTCTCTCCATGTTCTCCTATCCCATCACCCACTGACCTGTATACCCCTGGAATATTCAGGACACCACCCAAACTTTGAAACTTTTCCAGTCTCCTCTCTCCCTCCCAGCTTATTTGTCCCTTGTCTTTTTCCCTCAGCTAAGCCAAGAAGTAATTCAAACACCCATAGAAATTGCCAAAGTTTATTGATTTTCTAAAAAACATCACTTGCAAATTTATTTTCCTTATTAAAAAGATGTTGCAGTTATAATGATAAAGAGAGTCTTGATAAGAAAAAAATCAAGTCAGTCTTACAACTACACTTTCTCAATGTTAGTTTCTAGTATCTATTCTTATGCATACTGTTAGTATAAATCATAATAAAAACAGCCTTACATTAATGGATGGTTGGAAAAGGGGAGCATGCAAGGTTGGAGAGAAAAAGCAGCTCAAAGTTGTCAGATTCAATCCATGATCTGAGAGACAGGGTTTTTGTACAGGTAGCCTTAGTTCATTGCCAGAGATTCAGTGGAAGATTCTGGGAGCAGTAAATGCTGGTGACAGCTGAGGTTAACAGAAGACAGGTGGCCAGGAACAGTCACTAGGACACAGGATCTACCCAGCAATTATTTCATCACGACGTCTTCTATTCCACCTGTGCCTGAAACAATTGTAGTGATAATAATGAGATGGAAAGACACAGTGCGGGTACTCCATTCAATGTTTGGGTTATGTGTTTCAAGCCAGTGGACTCCAAGAATCAGAGGGTACCATGGTGTATGAATAATGTCAAACTGGAGCTCTTCAATGTGGTTTCCAATTTTAACTTCAGCAGGTGGTGTGCCTTGGTTATGGCTCCATTAATCAGTGGACAGCCATCTATGGTTTCAAGTGTGAGAGAGAAGATATTATTGTGCATGGGCAACTTCTCTCGAAGAACCACTGAATGGTCAATGCTGTTTCTGTAGGAGCATGAATCCACCATCACTTGCTCAGAGAACTGTTGTCTTCCCAGTCTGATTTCAATAGTAAGCCATAGGGTAAGGGACATAGATATTGGAAGTGAGGGGGATGCATATTTGTAGATTGGCCCATCTGGGTTCCCCCTTACTGCTGGGCCTCTATGTTTCCTGCTTGCTGGACTCGATGAGGCTTGACAGGGCAATCTCTGGCAAAATGTACAGAATGACCACAGTAGAGGCACAGTGGCCTTCACGATGGTGGGCCCATTCAGCTTCAGTGAGATGTAGGTAGTTGCTGGCAGGCTGCATAAGCTGATTTTCACCTGGTGGACTCCCAGGTACAGTTCTCTCCTCAGAGGGACTTACCCCTTGTGAATTTGTATCAGGCTTACCACTTAGCTTCTGTTCTCAGCTGATGCACTGGGTAATCAAATCAGATAGGTTGGTAGCTGGCCTTGTGTGAGATAGTTCATCTCAGAACTGGCAAGCCCTTCCTGAAATTGGATGCAGCTTAACTTTTGAGTAATGAGGATGAAGTGGGTCTCATACTGGTGGACAGAGTCATCACTTTGGCAGAGCTGAAGGATGCAGTGGTTGGCATTTTCCATGTTTTCAGGATTGTTAAAAGGATCCTGGAGCACTTGTATGAAACCTTCAAATTGCTCCAGTAGGTCTCTTTGGATAAGTACTAAGGGCTGGAACCACAGTCCTGCTTTGCTTGAGAAAGTTTCTAACAAAGCTCACCAGGGCTGCTTCAGTGGGATATGGGAGCTTTCTGACTCTCGTGTAACTATTCAACTGAACCAGGAGCTCAGGAAGCTTCTGGGCATTCCCATTAAAGGCTAAAGGGTGTTCTAGCAGGAAAACTTCATCTTCTAACCCCCTGGGGGACTGTGGGAACTCTGAAGCTGCTGATGTCCAGCAGCTACTAGGTACTCCAGGGGCTTCTGGGGTGCTGGGACTTCCAAGAACTCCTGGGTATCTGAAGGATCCAGGGGACCCTGGGTCAGCTGAGGCTCTTCCAACTCCTGGTGAGCCGCAAGCTCAAGGGGCTCCAGGTGTGTTGAGGTCTCTTGACATTCTGGTGCCTCCTGAGGCTCCTGACCATTTGGGGGTCCTGAGGCTCTGAATTCTGTTGCTTATGGGCCACTGGGAAATCCTGGGTATCTGGGGGCTCCTGAGAATCCTGGGTGATTGGGGACTAATGGAGCTCTTTGACCTTTGGGGGCTTTTGGGAGGCCCAGGCTGCTGAGAGCTTATGGACCATTGAGGGCTCCTGGGCTGAGGCTGATGGGGGTTCCCAGGTTGGGAGATCCTGGGGATCTCTGGGGTCTGGGGCCCTTCAACCTCTGAGGGATCTTGGAGTTCCCAGACTGTTGGGGGACCCAGGGACTCTGGGCATTTCTGGGGTTCCTAGGCTTCTGAGGGTTTCTGGAGAGGTTCATCCTCTTTGGTTGCTTGGGGCTTCTGGAGCTCTGAGATCTGGGCCTGCAGGGCAGCATTTTCTTCCATGAGCCACTGCATGTGGGTCTGCAGAATTTCATTCTCCAATTTCAGAGCAATGTAGGAAGCTTCTAAGTCCTCCACCATCTTTTGAGGAAACGGGCTTGGTTTGGCAGTTTGCTGTCAAGAAAGATTGGGTAGGCACTTGTGAGGCCTTTATAAAAGTTTCTTTTAGAAAAAGCTCTTTTCTAAAATATGTCAGGCTCTATGAGTTTTCCAGGAGGTGGGGATTTGGGCCCTGCCAAGGTTAATTATTAGGATGTCACTGTAAGCCTCTGAAGTTCAGCAAGGGGAGGTGTCAGATACACTGTGAAGGGAGTGGGATCTGGGGATCAGAAACTGTTGGAAGCACTCTTTCAAAATAAATCAGGATAAAACCTGTCTAATAGTGCTGGGCTTCTTTTACTATAAGGTCATGTTCATGACTTGTGTTATATATGCTGGGTTATACATCCTGGCTCTGGCCCCATGACATTTTAAGAACAGCATCTGACCCAGACTGTGTATGCCATTTTGTATTATTCTTTGAAGCTTAAATTTATAGTGGCAGCAATTTCTCAATATTCTTTTTTGTTTTATAGTCTTTAATTTCTAATATCTGTTGAATATCCCAAACACCTGGATTTTAACAGTTTCTTTCAATGACTAAGTCAAATGTTTGAGCAATGTGGGGATTTTAGGCTCTGTGGTGCACCAACCCAAGAGATATTTTTGGATGGCTTGGGTAGGAGGCAGAGGGGAGCTCTTTCTGACACCTCAGAAATTATACCAGACCAGCCTCAGGAGAAAATAAGCAATAATTGACTAAGTACATATATGCACTCAGCAGACACATGCATATTATTTATAAAATGCCTCAAAATAGTTCAGAAAATAATCTTTATAAATGTCCATTACCATTCAGAGACTTAGTCCTGGAGCTTGGCTGTCTGCGTACCCATCACTGACAAGGGAAGTGCATGAATGGCTGTGGAGGCTTGCCTTTTCTGTACATACTGATCTCAAACACACCCACTCCCAGAACACATTCCAACTTTCCTCTGTAACATAGCTATTTTGAATGTGGAAGGGTTTTTTTTCTGAGAGCACCTTACAGTTTAGAGCCACAAGGAAAGTAGGATGCTGCACTGATGTGAGGCAGTCTCTTGTATTCATTCCTCTGTTACTTTAATAAATATTTGGCCAGGAAATTGCCCTTGTGAAAAGTTGTAAGCATTTCTGAATAACTAGAGTGGTTTGGGATTTCATTTTTTATGTCTGTCTCATGTACCTTCCCTCACTCTATTCACACTGAGCCATTTATTTAATTCTTACTCAGAGAGCAAACTGTAGTCCCTCAGCTCCTTCCCCAACCCACTTACTCAGTCCCTAAGGTCCCTCCCTGCAATATTTTCTTGGAAACTTACCATAGACAGACCTAGGCGAGGTATAATAGGATAAGACTGTAGCAGAGGCCAATTTGTTGAAGTGTACTTGTAGCAGTATTACAAGGCCCCTGGCTCCTTCTGAATATCTTGGCCCAGGGTTCTCATCTTTCTCTGAATCTTTCAGGTTCTCTAGGAAGTATCCAGGCATCCTACTAAGGGCTGACCTCTCAGGAAATGACCTTGCTCAAAAATCTCACCTTCTTTCATGACAAATCACAGTCACAGCCTGGGAATGGGCCATGTGGCCATTTTAAGTAAGGCTTAGGGACAGATATTTTTGTCCTAGTAAAGAATAAGGTTGAGGATTTTCTTAGGCCACTTCAAATCACATATCATATCACTAATGGTCCCTAATATCCTTTAAAAATAATCAGTTACACATTGTTCAGCATAATGAGATAAATACTGGTAACAGAATATGCCCAAATCACAGTAAACTGACATACTGGACTAGCTGAACTCTAATGGTTTGGAAAGGAAAATAAAATCTTCTGCAAATCAAGTTATATTCTCTCCTTTCCTTTTAATGGTTTATTCTTTAGAAATAAACCACAAGGGAGTAATTTGTTTTATTTATATGAAGATTTCAGATAACTGAAGCCTTCCCTTTGATAATACAAAACATACCTTACCAATTTAAAGAATTCAGAGAAATATTTATATCATGTATTACACTTCTTTTTCCATTCTTAAGTGAATGATTTTGAATATAATTTAATTTATTTTTTAATGGTTTGGCATCATGCTTAAACAAGCTCATTCATTTACTGTGTTGTAACACCATATTGCCTTCTGAAGCTATTGAGAGGTATAAAGTGGCTTGTCTCCAAATTAAATACCCAAATTGCTCTGCTTTCTGACTTCATATAATTTATTTTTGCTCTATAGTTTTCTACTTTTTTGCTATCAGATTGTCACATAACCCTTCAAACTGTTGCAGATTGCCCGTTTATTCTAAGTATAGACAAAATTGGCAAAGTATTAGTCCTTCTAAAATTCAGTCTAAAACTCAGTTTATGAAGCTGTAAAATGGAACTATTAATTGTAGTTAACAGAATTGTTGCAAAGATTTAGTAAAACAATGCATGTAAAATGCTTAGCACAGTGTCTGGCCACTAGTAATACCCAATAAAGGTCAACTATCAATAAAGAAGGAGAAGAAGAAGAAGAAGAAGAAGAAGAAGAAGAAGAAGAAGAAGAAAGAAGAAGAAGAAGAAGAAGAAGAAGAAGAAGAAGAAGAAGAAGAAGAAGAAGAAGAAGAAGGAGGAGGAGGAGGAGGAGAAGGAGAAGAAGAAGAAGAAGAAAAAGCTGTAGTAGCAGTAACCTCATTTTAATTCGTTCCTTTTAATCATCTGTGAATTGGGAACCTGGAAAAGTAAACCATAGAATTATGTAGGAGCTGAGCAGGAGCTCTCCAAAGAAGAAAGCTGTGCATGGATTTTATGTTATTTATTTTCTGTCACTCAGGAAACTTTCTTTGTCTTTCTGTCTGGATTACAGATGATTTAGTTTATGAAATAATGCTCTGGAATCAGAACTGAGGTACCTGAGCAGGAAGAGCAGATGATTAACAAGGGAATTGTGGAGCAGCCAAGATAGGTGTTTTTAAAGTCCATGGGCTAAAACACTGAATGGTGCTTTGCTTACAGGCATATTTATCCAGTAGGTAAACGAGATATCTTTCTGTCCCCACATTCCTCCAACCCCCTCTAAAGAGCAAAGACCAAATTCAACATCCTTAACTATAAGTTCCAAAATGCCTAAACAGATAATTATTCTCTTTTGAGTGGAAAAAAGAGCTACACTGAATTTTGTTAATATGACTAAAGTAGCTTTAATGACCTGAATTAGTCAAGTAAGAATAGGGAAGTAAATCCAAACTCTTATCATGTTTCCCCTACACTTTAATCCTTCTTCTTACACTCACAACATGGTGGAATTTATGGAGCCTTTAGAATGGTTATGAAAACATGTTAATTAAATGAGGTTTTATTTAAGTAAGTGGGAGAAAATTTTAGGTCAAAAAAGAAGATAAATATTTTCATTTAAAAGAAAAAAATGACTGCACAGTAATGCTCAGTTTTGCTAATAAGTTACGTATGTTGATTGCTAGCTTGAGGAAAAAATGAAGAGAAGTGTTGAATAAGATGGCATTCTATTTTATACATTGCACTAGTTGTATTTTAATTTTGTAGGGAAATGTACAATCTGAAACATCTTAGGTCTCTGCCAGTCTTACCTGGCTGAGTTGCATCTTCAACTCAATCTTCTGCCCCTTCCCCTTCCTGTCCTGGAAGAGGCCACAGGACAGGTTATCCCACAGGTATCTGGAACAATGGCCAACTTCCCCCTGGGGACAGTTTCATCATGGTGTCTATTTTTTCTACATTGATTCCTATCATTGTGTTGGAACTTGTAGCACTTTCTAAAGTTTACCCTATAATGTGTGTAGTACAGATTGAAACATTTTATCATCATCAACAACACTACACAGCAGATTTCCCAATTCTTTCAGAAGTTGGAAAGCTTTCCAAAAATTCTCCTTATTCATCTGACTGGGATCCAGAGGATAATGAATGTATGGTAATAGGACAGGTTCTATCCCAGTACTACTCTGAAAGAGTCAAAATTGTCATCCTTTTCATCTCTCTTTATGATATTTATCGTCTTTTATTTCTTGTCCTATGCACACTTAGGGGAACTTTTCCCTTTATCCACTCTCACTTGGGGAGAATGAATCCCTACTGAGATACTACCTCATGGAATTCTAAAAGGAACAGTTTTAGGGTGTTTGCATTTTCATCTGGAGCAGATACCATTTTGGTATCCTTTAGATCGCATCATTAAGATGGCCCTATATTTTGTTTCTTTATAAGGCTGGCCCATATTAGTTTGCTTATCTAAATTTAGCATATTTACATAATCTGCTAAATCCAGTTTTAGCAGATTTGCTTAATGATTTCCATGCTCTGACTTCACTGAAACCTTGTGATATGCTGACCAGGCTGCCCTAGCTAAGGGCTGAAGAAACCACCACCACAGCCTAATAGGAGAATAGAGGGCCTTTGCTATAACCCATTCATGGGGATGTCATTTTTATAGGGATCTGGCCCTCTCCTTTACTTCCTTTGTCCCTACTCTGTGGAGTTTGCTAATGCTTGTTCAGCCAGAAAGCAGATTAACTCAAAGCTGATGGCATCAGCAAGGCAGAAAAGAGAGAAGGAGAAGGGGAAAGGAGAGGGAAGAGAGCGTGGAGAGGGGGGAGGGGAGGGGAGAAGATAATATAAGAAAATCTAGAAAGAACTTTTAAAAACTCAGCATATGTACATTTTGGCCATTTAAAGATAAAATTAAATTTTACGGTTTAGCATTTTAAAAATCACAAGATAGGAGACTATCTTTTAATGCTTTGGTTTATCTCTAAAGGTCTTAATCACGCAATGTGGTTGGTATGGTCTTTATAGGGTTGAAGATTGATAAAGGGGTGGTCATAGAACCTCCATGGGACTGGAAATGAACATTGGGGTGTACTGATGGGAGATGTAGCAGTAAAGGGGGGTGCTGAGGAGGGAGAATACCCAACCCTGCCAACCTCACATTTTTGCTTGTGCGGTCCAAATGAGATAACTGTTGTAAAAGTGCTTTGGAGAAAAATGTGCA